ATATATTCTTTCGTTGGTTGTATGATGTATGGAGGGGATTATAACCATGGCAATGAAACCATATGTGATAAGATGAATGTAAAACAAATGTTCTCCCATGTAAACTATCACATAATTCACAATAGAACATTAAAGGGAAAAAAAAAAAAATACAGGTCAGCATATGTAAAGATCTTCAGGTGTTTCAGCATAGGGAAGAGGAGTGGGATAAGTGGTTTTATCAGTAAATATAGGATGAGCATGGCTTTGGTGCGCATCATTAGTCAGAGCTGCTGGCAGACAGCATTTAGAACTGTAAGAAAACAAAGTAACAATATTACTGCAGAGGCTGAGAAAAGCCACATTTGAAGGTTGAGTCCAGAAAATCTATATTTAAAGTTGAGCCAATGGGCTCTCTCATTGAGGCAATTTAATGTTAAATTTTGTGCCTCTTGTTTAAGCAGCTGCATTTGTTTTTATAATTTTTCTTGCAAGCTATGGATATCTTGCCCAAGAGGGGAACAAAATGCGCCATGGAGTTGGCATTGAACATCATCCCAGGACTCAGTGGAGTTAAAGGGCACAGAAGTGACACACATAATCTTAACTTACATGTCATAAGTGAGTCGCTGGTGATCCCACAAGGTTTGTTGCCTTTCGGTAGTCCATAGGACAGCAGCCTCCAGTGCATCTAAGTGCTGCAAGATTTCTTGATCAATTTGAGTTAAGGATTGAAGCTCAGATGTAACATTTTGCTGATACTGATTGACATGCTGAATAGTCTGAATAGACTGGGAGAGAGCAACCACTGCAGTAGCGGCTGTTGTGTTAAAGCTGCAGCTGTAATGATGGAGGCAATAAGGATGCCAAGAAATCTTTTATTATGGGCCTTTTCCAGAGTTCAAGTAATTTGTCCTAAAGCTGAATCACTCATCCAGGGGCAAGTAAGATTAACAGGGACCCAGTCTTGAACTTGCTGACAAATAATAAAAACATGAGAAAAATTAAATAGAGAGACATTGGTATGAGAAACACAAGGTGTATTCCATGTCTTATCAGCAGGGAATGTAAAACTATAATGTTCTTGAGAACGGCTTGCAGTGGAGGGGAATTTTACCACAGCCAGTTTGGGAGCGTCAGAGGAAATAAGGAATGTATAAGCCTGCGAGGTACAAATCATGACACAGTTAATGGTATCATATCCAAAGTGGAGGGCTAGTTTGAAACTGACCATGTCAAAAAGTGCGAGGTGAAAAGGACAATGCAGAGGTGCCAAATATCCCGTCCCCCCCGAGGAGTATAGGTATGTTCTCCTATGTTGTTGTTGTTAAGTACTGTGGAGTCGGTTCCGACTCATAGTGATCCTGCACAGGGTTTCCGAGGCTGCAAATCTTTACGGGAGCAGAAAGCCTCATCTTTCTCCCACAGAACAGCTGGTAGTTTCGAACTGCTGACCTTGAGGAAACCAGTCCGATTCGTAACCACTACACTACCAGAGCTATAGGAGGAGGGTATTTAACTCAGAGAAGCTGCCTGCAAGCCTGGGGTTCCACATAGGGGATACATAAATATAATGATAGTTCCTATTCCAATTCCAGTGAGTACAATTTTCCAGAACTAGAAGTCCTTGAGGACCCACATTTTCTAAAGTTAAATTGGCAGCTAAAGGGACAACAAAGAAATTAGTAGAACTATAGATGGTGCATCTGAGATCTAAGGAATCTTTCAGAGTCAGCTAGGGACATCGGCAGACAGGGACACGAGGCTGAGGATGCCCCAGTCCATTTTTCAGGTCATCGGATACCCCAATGGCGTTGGCAAATATTTGATGACGTGCGACTTCCATGTGTGCTGAATGATTATAAATGTAATTCATATACCATTGAGGAGAAAGTGGAATACAGTAGTTGTAAGAACTACTGCTACAAAACGATTCACCGAACAGACAGGCAATTCTTCAGACAGGAAAAACCAGTTTGAGGTAATTTGTACCAGTCATGATGGTATCCATTACTACCGCATGTTGGTCCTCAATCTTTTAAAGGTCAGAGGGAGGGAGCGGTGAGGCTCCCGTAATTAGGGTGTCATTAGAAGACAGCAAGGGTTCTGGGTTTCCTCAGGTAACCATGTCAAAAACAGTAGGATTCAGAATGTAAGTCCAATAAGTATGGGGCTAGGCCATACTTACCACCAGAAACAGCAAAAAGAGAAGCAATACAATTCCCTTTCCTGAACATGATTCAATGGGAATACAGGATATCATGGCCAAGAATAGATTTTCAGGGGTGACAGGGGTACTGGTGTTGTGTAGCACTGTCTCTGCCTTGTGTGGTCAGCTGCTTCGATCCCCCCCAAGTGAGGTTTGGCACTTGCAGATGGGTAGGGAGTGATTCCGTTTTGTTCAGTTTCTGAGCCATCCTTGGTGGTGGGATCACAGCCCTGGAAGTGGATACTTGGTTGAGTGGTGCCATTTTATGATATGGTTAGACAAATTTAGCTGGGAGCCACACCTGTCCTGTGGGAGATAAAATAGCAGCATACCCTCACCCCAGAGTTGCTGTTTAGATCTGGGGACGATATAGGAAGGGTATTAACTATGCTATGCATGTGCCTTTGGTAATAAATTGAGATTTTAAATTTGTGACCAATATTTTCATTGCTCTTCATAATCTGAGTCTAGAATTCTGGTGTGGCTCTGTGGGCTAATGCATCTGACTGAAAAGTCTTTTGAGCTGCAAGGTCGGTGGTTCAAGCTCACCAGCTCCTCCTTGGAAACCCTATAGAGGGTTGCTATGGGTTGGAATCGACTTGACGGCACTTAACAACAACAATCTGAGTCTATGAGACTGGGGAGGACTTGAATTTCCCAGTTGGTGTAACTAGAATGGCCAATAATGAGTCCTGCAATCCCAGGAGGAAGGGTACCCAGATAGGGGTTTCAACAACTTTCACAACTGTTGCCTCGTTCAAGGTGAAATCTTAAGAAAACAGGAGATATAATCCCGCAGGGCTCTTAGCAGCAGCTTGTAAATCTACCACTCACCTGTGGAGGGAGTGCTTGGAAGCGCCTCTGGATTCCAAACAAGGGTGATCACATTCCATGTCTGACTTCCTTGACTCCCTTGGGTTTGCAGGGTGCTGGAGTTGGCACCCGTCTTCCCATTTTCAGACAACGGTTTTCCTTAAGCTTAAACTTTGAGAGACATTGGTTGGCCAAACAGTAGCCCTTTTGACAGGGCATTTTCTTTTGGGTTTAACCTTGGTATTTTTGGCCACTCAACAATCTTTTTGAAAATGACCTTCCACTATTATAGCAGGTCTGAGGCCAGAGAGGGGCTGCTAGCATCTGCACTCAGTGAATCTCAGTACCAACATTCTGACATGCTCTGATCATTTCCGCGATGTTAAGATCCTGCTCCTTGAAGGGTGCTAGGACTTTTTGGTAATCTGCATTGGCAATATCATGAAACTTTGGTAGATATATGCTATATTGGGCCAAAGTTAAGACAGTTTTAATAAGAGTTTTCCAATCCCATGGGCACTGTTCACGAATTATTATCAAAAGCTGTGTTAGCTGTTATGTGAAGCCTTGCACTCTGCTGCTTGCAAAAGACCACGCAGCTGGAGCTTGTGATTGCGTTGTACTGGAGAAAGAGAGTTTTCTATGTTTCCCTGGAGAGCTTAGGGGAAAAGCAAAGAAATCTCCTGGTCTGATTCCTAAGAGAACTCACCACAGGCCTTCAGAGGCTAGTCCTCCCTTACCCATTTCCCTTACCGGAATAAGACATGGCCTTTTCCTTTTCCCGGCTTAGGAAGGTCACAGCTTCCTTGACCCTCACAGGGGGCACCACTTGTCACAGAGACAATGACTACTCAGAGTCTAAATACAAAGCACTGAGGAACCTAGGAGAGGCTACCACCAAATAGCACCTCTAAATGAGAGCCATGACAGTGACCATGACCATGGCTCACTTGGGAGTTAATTGAAGTAAGTAAAGAAGAACAGGGAGAGTATGTGAAAGTGGAAGAGAATTCTTTCTGGTAGGGAGTGAAGGATAAGGAGCATGCTGACCTTCCAAGAAGTTGTTTTTGCACTTTCTGAAAGACTAAGTTGCTAACCTATCAAGGCCTTGTCTGCTGTTACCAGCACATACTGTTTTCAGTATTGATGTCAGTTCAACCCCTCTGACTTTTGATGGAGGGCCATCATGCTAACATTCACCAAGGGCTCTGGCTTGTGGCCAAATCCCGAGTCCCTACACGTGGTGTTTACTATTGGCTTCAAGGCAAAATAATTTTAAAATTATAGGAATTGTTTAGTGACGTATGTGCTTTTTAAAAAAATTTGTAGTGATTTGATTGTTACATTTCATTCATCATGGCCCAATTTCAGAAAGTTAAAACTTCATGTACTTCTATTATCTATTTTCAAGGGTAGAACAACTTTCTACTGACATAGTTAATTGACTGTTATGGATAAAGATATGTTTGTATTTCCAAATTTTAAAATTCCCTATTTCTAACTTTACATTGAAATCCTAGTGTGGATAAGCACTGGACCACAAGGTTGGTTTGACCCACAAAGCTAGTAGTTCAAACTCACCAGTTGCTCCTTTGAAATTCTATATAGGGTCACTCTGAGTTGGAACTAACTCGATGGCACTTAACAATAACAGCAATATACAAGATGCTTTCAAATGTTCATTGAAAAATGGAATTGAAAGATAATAGAATTTCCACACACTGTTTTTTTTTCCCCCATGTATATGTATTTAAAGAATATTACAGAATCAGATGTAATTTGAGAGCAGATAGAAAGCAAAGGATAACTATATGAATAAAAAGAATATGGCTAGTTAGGGAATGGTAACTGGATTTATAAACACAGAAACTTTATTTCTCAAGTCACTTTATTTTGGGATGACTGTCTCAGAAAAGCTAAAGGGTGATACAGCTGTCAGAATCAATGTTAGCCATTTGAACAGTGTTAAATTACCCTTTTCTCTTCAATGAGTAAAAGTCTAATACCAGATTTCAACTTTTCTTTTAATCTTCTTTTTTAATTTTGAAACTCCACCAACCAAAATTGAACACAGAAAAAGTATTAAACGACCAATTAGTGTAACAAGTATCTTGCTTATATTAATAATTATTCTTGCTCGAAGTGCATATTCTTTGTCAGGTGGAGGGCCACTATTTACACTTCCACCTGATCCTTTCGCTACACAATCTGGTGGTTTCCAACCACGTATACAGTGGCAGTTATGCTTGTTGTTGCACACTCCTTTATAATTACATGTTGAAACATTACAGGTAAAGTGTAAGTCTTCATAGTAGGTACAATTATTGTTAAGACAGTATTTTCCTGGCCCACATGTGGCACCATCCACTACAAGTCCCATGTATGGCTTTTGTGTCCCAAAGTGAGCATCATATCCAAAGCATATTTCTTCTTTAACATCATAAACAACTAAATGACGAAATGTAGAGTGATCACCTCCATCAGGGATTTGTGGGACACCACTACAGTGCAGCATTCCACAAAAAACATCATCATGTTCACATGCAACAGATTTTCCTCCACCGCTTACTAATCTCACCCCACAATTTCCATATCGATCACCTACTATATTAAGTTGTTCATAGCATGCTGGTACCGCATCTTTTATTTGATAGCCAAAAAGGGCTTGACACTGCAAATCGCGGTCACTACAATTTCCTCTTATACATACGGCTACTGTCGAGCAAGGGGTTCCATCCTGGACATAACTGTCTTCTGGGCACAAATGTGTTTTCCCATCACAGTATTCTGGTAGATCACAAATTCCAAGTGTATCTCTGCAAATTCTTCCAGGGGGGTCATATTTACAGTTACTGCAACAACTTCTTTGATCACATAAACTGCCAAAGGTCAGGGCACAATTGGTTCCACAACATTTATCTTGAGCACAATCTTTAAAGGATCCACAGTCACATTCTTCCTTCTGATTTACAATCTTGTCTCCACAACGAGAAGCTACATAAGGATAATTGTAATATGGAACATTCTGCCAGCTCAAACAAGGATCCCATTTGTTGTGATCATGAAGGAAATGTCCATAAGTACAATTACTAAATGTATCTAGAAGACCAGGTGAATCAGCCATGACACAGTTAGTTCTACGAAAGCAGTGACAACCTGATGAATCATGGTAAATATTAAAGTTATGAGTTAACGCATGTGCTGCGATAGTTGCAGTGATAAATAAATGATATCTTCCCATAAATACATATGTTGCTCCCCAGTTTGGATTGCATATTCCCCCCTGGTGGGCATAATACGTGCTATGTCCTAGCTTATGTGCTGTAAGAAGTAGTGAAGTATCATGAGGAATGAGTTGAAAAAATCCATAAAATTTCCACAAACCAAACTCTGTTAGTGTGTATCTAGCATTACCCTCATAAAGATTCACTATATCAAACCCATCCCATATGCAGAGCACACGTACATGGACCGAGAAATGAACATGTATAAAAATGGTGTCAAGTATGTTGTTTATAATCACAACACCTTCTATGTGATGTGTAAAATTTTCTTTTCTCTGCCACAATGAATTAGAAACTGTATAATGGAGTTTTAAATATCTCCTGTGTGGCACCCACAGATATGCTGGTCCTGCTCTAGGAGTTTCAGCAAGTTTTTCCTCTTCAAATCCTTGATGCAGCTCTTCCCATTCAATCTCACACCTTTCAACCCCTGTTGATCCTTCTTCTGACACAAGTAGAGAAACCACATGCTCAAATTTGGAAGAAGCCTCCAATGGTTTGATTTCATAGGTTAAATCATCCAGCTGCAACATGCCATGTAGACCCCCGCGGCAGGTGTCCAGTGTTGCCATGGACCCAGGTATCCCTTCCAGGTAGCTGAAATAATAACAGTCTCGGGGGACATATGGGTAATCTTTCTGCATGGCACCTTGATCATTGTTGGTAACCACAGGAAAATGTCTGGGTAGCAAGTTCTTCTTGATCTTCATGTGAAGTATGTGTCTTCGTCCCTGAAAGTGCATGCTATAGAATAGCCAACCTGTCTTGTCAGGTCCACTTACCTTGTGGGACACTTTCTGGGTAATCACAATTTCAGAAGAAGTGAAATGCCATGCTGGTGGGCCTTGGGAACTGCACACAGAGGACAGGAGTGCCCAGAGCATGGGCAGCAAGAGAGGACCCCTCAGGAGGGTCTGGGTCCAGGCAAGCCCCATTAATGTGGGAGCCTGTAACCAGAGAAAACTCAAACAAATGTGAGGCAATGAAGACTGTACCTGAAGTAGCAAATTTTCCATCAGGACAGTGATGAGATCACAGCTGATGGATCAGAGGCATGACTGTTACACAACAATGATGCTGTGCTCATTTGAGGAGGCTGGTCTAAGTAAGCTAGGACACCAGGGTGGGGATTAGGGGGAAATGTGTAGAATTGGAGAAAATAAATTGTATACTTGTGCAGTTGTTGTTAAGTGCCTTTGAGTTGGAAACCTGTATTTGGGTTCCAAGAAGTGTTTGGTGGGTTTGAACCAATGGCCTAGTGGTTACCAGTGTAGTGCTAGTCCTATAGCTCCAAACCAGGATTCCATATGTACGTTAAATGGTCATTTATTCTCTTGTGGATATCATAGGAAATAATAAATTTGTTAGAGTGAAGCATCCAGATGGTATAAAGTGAAGGAAGA